AGCAGCTCGGGTCAGAGGGACTGAGGCCTATGGCAAGATTCCAGCTCCACCCACCCCCAGGCCTCTCCAGGGCCCTGGATAACAAAAGGAAGCATGGTGAGCAAGGGGCGAAGCTCTTCCTTCCCCTCCAACCCAAGCTCTGCAGGGCGCGTGGGCAGAGGCCAGATCTGATGACCTGGGCAGAGCTGCTCCTGCCCGGCGGGTCTTGCAAACTTGGACTATCTGGGATCTGAGTTCTGATGGTGAACGGGGTTTCCTGGGCTGGGAGGGATTCGCTTCCTTCCCCGCAGGACTCACCCCTCAACCTCAGCCTTTCCAGGCACTGTCTCTGGCCTTGCTTAGACTCCAGGGACCTTGGCGAAGAGATCATGAGCCGCATTAAGAAAGGAGTTTCCAGGTGCTTGGTTTCACATAATTAAGACTCCGGGTGGCTTTGGCATCATCACAAGTCAGTGGAAGCTGCCTTACTACAGAAAAGAGACTATCCCACCGAGTGACAGCAGGATCCTGCCTGCGTGTGCATGTCCGGTGTGTTGTTGCTCTCTCTTTCCATCATTCTCTCACTCAACCACACAAGCCATAAAACACAGGAAAAAAAAAATGTTCAGGTGTTTTAAAAGCAGAACCATGTCGCTGTGAGTTTCGTGTTTCGCTCAACAAAGTCGTTCAGGTGGCAACATCATGAACAGGGACAACTGGGATCAAAGCAGATTCTTCCCAGGCATTTAAAAGGATGAGACAAAGGCAGTCCCTGCCCGTGTTACCTGTGTCTGTCCACAGGACTCTGCAGTCTCATGGAGACGTGCAAGAGTGGAAAGGAGTAGAGTTTGGAGCCAGAGAGAAGTGGAGTTCAACTCCAGCCCGGCACCACTGCAAGCCACACAACCCTGAGGGAGCTACCTTCCGGGTGTTCTCACTTGCCTCGTGTCTAAGATGGGAATGGATCCTGCAGGGAAGGCTGCACGCCAAGATCACAAGAGCAGCTTAGGCAAAGTGCTTGTGGCTGAGCCCACTTGGCTGCTCAGCCAGTGGCGGGCTGTTCTCAAGATGGCGGCCCTCCTCCTTCTCACCGTTGCCTCTGGGCAGGAGAAGAAAGTACAGTGTGGCTCCCTGTCTAATTCTCCGTCTTCTGGGATGACACGCTCTGTGGCTCAGGCTTGTCTACATGTCAATGCTAGGTCTACAGCTGAGGAATTTCCAGGCCCTCTCTCTTGTACCCGCATATGGAGTCCAACACCAACAGACTCTCCATCATTGACTCTTCTTGGACCAAGAGATGAAAAAAGTTCATAAGTTTTAAAAAGCCACACAGCCGGCAGCAAGAGGAGCCACAACACGGAATAGAAGAGCAGATGCCAAAATAAGAGGAATAACTATGGAGACTCATGTTGTGCAATACAATAGAAATTAAAATGTTAAGTAATTAAAATGAAATACGATTAAGCACGCAGTGTTTCCTTCACAGTAGTCTCATTTTCCACGCTCAAGTCTCACTGGGCAGGCTGCAACTGTTTGGATAGTAGTAGATCTCGAACTTAATTCCATCACCTGAGAAAGTCCTATGGGATTCGGGGATGATGAGCTGTTTCAATTTTTATATTTTTCTAAATCATGTGCCATCGTGTTTTTTTTTTTCTATTAAAAAATTTTAATAGTAACAGGCCAAGGGAAAAATTTTAAAAATACTATTCTGGTTTGTGTATTAACACTGTGCATGAATCACATTCATATTTGTAAATGTTAATATTATTATATGATCTCAACCCAAAATGGCAAACCTGAAATTACGAAAAGAGCTGCTAGCCTAGTAATAGGTGAGGTTGATGCTTTTAGGGATCTCTGTGTCTGGGTGCGGTGGAGATGAGCCCCCCCCCCCCCCGAAGGCCCCTGTTGTCCTGTGCGAATCCAGACCATCTTGGGATGAGCCCTTCAGGGCCCTGGGTACAGGACGGCGCTCCATGCTCTTCCTCGGCATGCATTCCTGACTGCTTTCTTTTGTAACTCCTGGAACCTTCCATAGGTCGTCTTTGAGTCTTTCCCTCCATGGTTTTAGGTTCTATTCTTAAACAATGTGAGGGGGAGAAGCAAGGCCAGAGGAGGAAGGAAGAACAGACTGTGTAAGGTGCAGAGGCAGAACCAACCTGGGAAGACACCTGGGCCCAGGCGTCTGCTTGGAGAAGGGAGCGGGTGCATTTTCTAGTACGCACAAGGCCCTGGGTTTGAACACAGTGTTGGGGGGAGGAAAGTGAGAAAGGCAAAACTGGGGTCTGCTTAATTAAGAGTGTCGGGTGCAAAATGGCGGTGCCAGGTCATGCAGGTGTCAGTCAGGGTCAGAGGAACACTAAAGTGCGGAACCCTGTTCGGCTGCCCATGTTGCCTGCCCCTGAAGCCGGCTCTTTTTCAGACTTTTATAAGCCACGGGAGGTAAAGTGATTTCAGTCTGAAAAAAAAAAAAAAATTGTGGGCATTCCAAAATCAACCAGTGATTTTTTTGCAGGGGAACAAGTATCACTGCAAATCCCTCCCAAACATCCTATTATTGGGTCTACCTTTGATCCATATTCGACTCTAAAACATCTCTAGGTAGCCTATTTAAGATCCAGGACACTGGTAGAAGCAGAAGGCAGAAAGGCAGCCGGTCACAAGGCTGGGGGCCTAGAAGATGACGAAGCGTGCAAACTGTCAATCAACAGATTCAAGAGCTCAGTCACACACCACGGTGGGCGACTGCAGCTGGTAACGATGTATACTTCAAAATTGCTGGAGAGTGGATTTTAAGAGTTCTCACGAGGGGAAAATGACGAGCCAGTGAGGTAATGCATGTGTTAATTGGCTCGATTTAGCCATTTCACAAAGCAGACTTCAAAACATCCTACGGAACACCCTAAACACAGACAACTTTTTCTTTATGAAATAAAAAAATGAATAGTGAAATAGATACCATTCTATGGGGGAAAGATTAAGTTGGTGTGACCGTCACTACTGTCATTCAAGTGCTGAGGGGACTGTGTGGCTGTAAAACTTGACCCCATTAGCTGAAGACAAAGAAGTACCATCCTTGTGCCCGCTGGTCTATGTCCACCTTGTAAAGTAACCCAAGTCATCTCATCGTGGATGTCACATTGTTTAGTAGCACAGATGAAAATCAAAATCAGCGGAAGAATTACTTAGGCTGACTCCTGAGCTCACACCAAGAGAATGAGCTTTGCCATCACACGCTTTACTTGATACTATCTTCTGTAAGGAGTGGGGTGATATGGAATGGTTGGGAACGCAGAAGTGATAAGATCAGCTTTGATTGTGAAGCAGAGAAGTCTGTCTTTATGGGAACTTTTAAAAATCAGAACTATCCCATTTTACATAAGATCCGGATGGCATTAAGAGAACCAACCTGTATAAGTAATTAAAACAAATTAAAATATTTAAAAAGAAGAAGAAAAAGCAACTTTGTTTATGTCAGGCGTAGTAACTGGCTCTTAGAAGGAGTCAGGCAGCCAGGAACGCTAGCCTCTGTGTCATGGCTGTCCTTGAGTGCAGCAGCAGCAGCATCTGGTCAGGAGCAAGAGGAGGAGCTAAGCGCCATCCCTGAAGATATCAGGTGCGTGGTCGTAGGCTCACAAGATTATTAAACGTGGACAGGGGACAGATCGCGGTTGGAAGCACACAGGCTTCCAATCCACCTCTGTTGATGATGGCTAGCTGTGGGATCTGGGGAAAGTAACTTTCTATTTCTGCCTCAGTGTCCTTGTCTGGGAAATGGGGTAACCAAGAGATCCTGTCCCAGATGCAAGTGTGTGGACCGAAGAGAAAAGGCACATAAAGAGCTTAACCCAACTGCTGGCCCACGGTTAACGTCACTATGGGAATGACAGCAAGGAGCCTAGATGCATGACATATTTATGAATTGGAAACTACATGAGGGATATAAATATGGCAAGCATATTTTCTTAGCCGGATTTGGGGACAGATGATTCGATAATCTCAATGGCACACTTGGGAGTAATGACATTGGAAATTTTAACTCACATGGGTGTTGGGAGGGGCAGGACGAGTAGCTGACATGTTCATAGGACGTGAATGGCAGCCTGAAGGCTTTTCTTTCAAATGTTCCTTTCTGAAGTGAGGTACAGGAGGGTGAAGGCAAAGAGACAGTGGGGAGGAGGCGGAGAGGTGCAGAGGCAGCCTCCATCCCAAATGCACAAGCACACACCCTCACATGCACCAACACGCATGCACACGCACACACACACACCCCTATGCACATACATGCCTGCACCTACACACATAGACACACATGCAATCAGTTTGTTAAAGGCTCATCTAAATATTTAACATGCATCCTAAGTCTATGCTAGTCTCCAAGTTGACACACTTACACCAACACACACACACTCACTCGCCTTGCTCTTGAAAATACACTAAGAAATACCTTTGTGGAAACCCCTAAGAATTAATTTTAAAGTCAATTGGAACATTATATCCTGCACATTCCTATACGGATGCAAAAGGTAGTTCTTCTGGAATTGATAGAGCCACCTCCACTGGGAAAGATTAAGATTCCTGAGAGCCATCTTGGATTCCAGGAAGTTCAGCTGCAGATGGCTCAAAGGTCTGTATTACAAGCAGGTTTCACAGACAGGACATGTCATTGCAGAAACCCCGCAACCCACACAGGGGAAAGCCAGGGATGCACACCTCTGCCCTGTTTTCTTCATCTATCCCAAACTCACCATCTGTTTGGTTTAAAAATTCTATTTATCTGTGTGTGCATGTGAGGGACAGAGATCTAAAATAGCATACATACTGTAAGCATTTTGTTTCCTAAATGCTTTCTTACTACATGGGCTCACCAAAGAAACAGGTTCACAAAAAAAAAAAAAAAAAAAAAAAACTGAGATCAGTTGCTTTAATAAACATATCATGGTTTGATGTAGTGGTTGTTTTCTTTTTTAGACTTGATTTATCTGTCACTTTCTTTCCAAATTTGATTTATTGGTCAATTTCTTTTCAAGATTTGATTTATTGGTCAATTTCTCTTCAAGATTTGATTAAAACACATTACATAAGTCTTTTCAGATCTATTTCTAAATATCATATATATTTCTAAGTATGGATGTTTAAAGTCTTTATTCATAAATGTTCTTGATTGATGCTTGTTTTTTCATTAGTCTTTTTTTTCTATATACTCCAGGTAGTCATTTATTCTGTAATCGGAATCAACATAAACAAACCGTAAAATCCAATTGTGTAATGAATTACTCATATCTCAGACTCAGAGAGAAAAGGAACTTAAGACATAGCAAGGTAAAACCACCCCTGTGAGTGTGTGTGTGTGTTTGGGGGGGGGTGTCAGGGAACACGTTGGTGGTTGATCTTGAATCTCTGGGTTTACAGATGCATCTTCAAACAATTCTGCAGGACAGGATTCCAGCATGATGTCTCCTGGGACCATTAATTGGTCCTCGGCTACCTGGATGGCCTTGACAATGGAGAGTCCTGTATCGTTCTGGAAAAGGTCGTTTCATTTTAACGGCTCCACGGTGCGAAGTCCCTTTCTGTCTTGGGACTTCCCTACAGCCCCCTCAGGAAGCAATGCCCGTCAGATACCCCAGCCTCCCATCAGGCCCTGGGGTGCTGGGTACTCCCGGGGAGGGCCGCTCATCAAAGGTGGGCTGGGGCAAGACAGAGCAGGCAGGTCTAGATCCGAGAGTCTGAGGGCTCCGAATCTCACACCTCCCTGTCTACACCCCTGAAGCCTCTTGGGATATGAATGTTCAGAAACCAGTTACTAGTATGCACTCCAGGAGGGTGGGATGTCCACAAGCGTGTGTCATGATTTAGAAAAGAAATAATTACACCCCTCTGCCTTCACACCGTCTTGGCCTAGTTTTATCATCTGCAAAACAAGAATAGTATCACTCACTTTGGAAGGAAGTTTCAAAGAATAAAGACACTAATACATGCAAAGCACACCCAGCTGGGGCGATGGTGGCTGTTGCCAGCTGTTTCACAGGTTGACGCTGAGTAGCCAGGTCAGCTGAAGAATTGTCGTCTACTGGCCAGTCACGGTGGGTCAGGCCTGGTGCACACTTCTCCAGGGGGGCATCTGCTCCTGCATGGTCGGTGTTGCAGAGACTCTTCCCCTTCTGGCTGGGTAAACTCAGTCAAGGCCAGAACAGTGGGTGTCAGTCCCACCTCAGGTTGGGGCTGCCCCACTCTGCAAGGTAGCCTTCTGCATTTTTAAGAAAGTTCCAGTTTTTTTTTTTTTTTTTAAAGCATGTTGGAGCTCTAAGACACTCAACAACTGCAGGTCATTAATATCAACTTCAAGGGAGGAACTTGGGTGGCTTCAGCAAGGACTGAACTTAGTTGATTCTCTGCCTGGCCCTTGGCATGGCCAGGGAAGTGCAGCTTTGATTACACTGGCCATGTCCCCAGTGTGGACACCTCTCTTTCAGATTGGCACTCCTCTGAAAGTGATCCCTTGTGGTTCCCTGTTGTCTCTCCGAAGCCTGGTGCCAATGTGGGTCATCTTGCAGCATCTGAAAAAGGGGGTGGACAAAGCCTGATTCAACCAGCTTTTCTCCTGTCTTGTTTAACAAATTGGGATTCTAAGAAAGTTATATCTTCCAAAATTGTTTGTAAGATAAATCTCCAGGCTGGGCGTGGTGGCGCACGCTTGTAATCCCAGCGGTTTGGGAGGCTGAGGCAGGAGGAGCGTGAGTTCAAAGCCAGCCTCAGCAACTTAGCGAAGCCCTGAGCAACCCAGCAAGACCCTTCTCTAAATAAAAACATAAAAAAAGGGCTGGGGATGTGGCTTAGTGGTTAACCATCCCTGGGTTCAATCCCAGGTACCAAAACAAACAAACGAATAAATCTCCAACTCCTTAGCATGGTACCAAGGCCTGAGACCTACCTGCCCTGAAGCCCACCTGCCCTGAGACCTACCTGCCTGTCCATCCAGACCTTGTGTGGCACCCTGCTCTTAGGACAGTGGGAAATGTTGGCTCTTCATTGGGAAATTTCCTGCTCCCTGGTTCTTAAGTCTCTGCACTCACCATTCTCTCTCCTGAAGCCACTGTGCCATCTCCAGTGACTGGAGAGTCCCTCTTCTCCCACCCCTGTCAGATGCTGCCTCTTCTGGAACCCTTTCTCACCTCCTCCACCTCTGGATTCCCTCCCCCTCCATCCCCTCAGGCGCAGGGCAGGAGCTCATCCCTTATCCTTCGCCTTCCTTCTCCAAGCCTTCCCAGGCTGTGTGCCTGAGTTCTCCCACCAGGATCTGCCGCTGACTGAGAACCCCCAAGGGGTTGCCTTCCCTGAGTGGCCATGTATGTCTACAGAGTCAGGTCCCAGGCTGGCGCAGTGAGGCCTTGGAAAACAGTGACATAAATGAGCAGAGCCGTGGCTGTAGGTCTGCCCCGATCCCAATCAACTAGACTCCATTTGGCGGCACCAGTTGGGTTTGGGAACAAGACTAGGAAGATGTGGTGACCCCTGCCCACTTCCACTAGGGCACAGTTGAAGGAGCATGGAGATTGGCCTGTAGGTGAATCGGGGTCTGCCGTTCCCATCTGTGTGAAGCTTGGATCTCCATCTCTCCACCTGCACAATGGGTTACTGACATCCCAAACCTGGAAGAGTTGGCGTAGTAAGTGATGGGAAAACCACAAGGGTCCTGGCACTCAGTAGGTACCTGCTGGATCCCACGCTGAATCTCTGCGTCTTTTAAGGGAAGCAGCGAACCCTCTGAATCTGGCATCCCCAGGGCTGCCAGGGCCCCTTGACTCTGTGCTGCACAGGAAAGCTGCACTGCTCAGCATTTGGCTGGGCGGCATCAAAGAGCCAGGCCACTCGGAGCCCCGGGCCCAGACCAGGACCAATGAGAGGTGGGGCTGGCGGGAGTCTTTAGCAGCTCCTGTTACAGAACCCTCCTTTTGGGGACAGCTCAGGCAGACAGGGTGGAGCAGTTTATGCTCAAAAAGCACCTTTGTCAAAGAGATGCCTCAGCAAATTATCCTGCAACACAGTGAGCCATCTTACCCTAAGCCTGTAGACTGCCACGATGAAATTAGCTGGTCAGAGAGCAGCCAGGCCTCATCCCTGCTCCCAGACATGCCACAGCCTCCAAGAAGGCCCAAGGGAAGGCTGGTTATTGTTGGGGTTCTTTGCTCTGCCTTCTTAAGAGGGCATCTAGCAAGGCACAAGATACACAGGGTCCCTCTATAGTGCTACCTGTCATTCCACTCAATGATATCTCTGCTTTTCTCGGTGCTCTTACCTTTGCAACATCGAAATAAGAACAACAGCTCGTGCGCCAGGCATGTACCGGTGCCAGGAACTGCCACAATGCCACAGAAGGATTTCCTAGGGCAGTCTGTCAACAATCCTGTTGAGGCAGGGACTAAACTCTCCAGTGTGCAGATGGGAAAACAGAATCAAAAGCAAGTGGCTGAGTCACTGGAGCTGTGTCTGCTGGTCTCTAGAGTCAGTCCTCACTCATTAGGAAGGTGGAAGAATGCGAGCCACATCAAAGATGCCGAGATAAGAGAAAGACCATCTCAAGGGAATTTGAGGGCCAGTGAGTGGTAAAAGCTGCCAGGGGTCGATGGAAATTCCAGCAGTTTGAAGGACGTTTCAGAAGAAATGTCACAAGATAGAAGACAGGAAGATAACTGGGGTGAATGAGGATGCTTACAAACAAGTGAAAGTCTCCCATTTCCTCCAGATGTGGCTCCTCGACCCACTGTGTGGAGTTCACCGGGACAGTCATTAGAAGGAATGTTTTTTTAACCCAATCCCTCTTCCAAAGACATGGAATTCTCACAATGGGCCCAGAAAACTGACGATTGAACAAGCTCCCCCAAGTGAGACTCTTGTACTCTCCAAGTTTGAAAATAGTGAAGTACATCTCACGTGCCTCCTGAGTTTCTCTTGGCTTCCCTGTCTAACAGGACAGGGACTGGCCCAGTGTGGCCCTGCATGCTTCTGCCCTTACTTATGGCTGCTCCCGCCACTGTTGATTCAAACAAAGTAATACAGAAAGGGCAGGGTTCTGGCTTCCCCAGGCTTCCCCAGAAGCTAGAACCCAAAATGTGAGTGATTCAAGTCTTCTGGGAAGAACTTTTTGCCAGGAGAATTTGACTGATGGACTCCCTCTATGTCCTGCTCTGATGGCCTACCCTAAGGACACATCTGGAAATAAACAGCTGGTCCTTGTGAGCTGTAAACAATGACAAGGTATCAACACTGCATCACTTCCAGCTTCCTCTGGTCCACTGTCTGGACACTAACCCACCGCGCTGCTCTGGGCTGCACTTCTTAATAAAGGGCCAGCACTCAATGTTGGCCCCAGGCTCTGGATTTTTCAGAAACTTGAGTCAATAAAAGAAGCAATGCTCTATAGGTTACAGTCTGAGATCTCTGGAATGCATTCAGTATCTTTGGTATTTGACCCCTTCTTACCTCTAACAGTGGTGTGCTGGTAAACATTTAACAATCAGCCTCCCAAAAGGGGAAAAAAAAAAGCCCACATTTTTAGTGTTTCCTGATTTCTGTGGTGTAAATACACCCACAATGGCTGAATTTAATCTACCAACATGATATTATTAACTGCAGGGTTGGGAAGAAATGTATAATGCTGCATCAATGGAAGGTATTTCTATCAAACAAAACATAAATATTAATAACCTCAAGGGTATAAATATAGCAAAATTTACCACTTAGCTCCAGCTCCCTCTTCAAAGCATGTCCTGGGTGTCCAACAGGTTTGCCATGATCTGGTTTAGCATATTGATTTTAGTGAGTTATGTTGATTTTCTGCCTTCCAAAGTCCTTGGTTATCATTGCCTGAACCCACAATAATAATCCTTCAGAAGGAGATTATAAACTGGATGATCTCACAGTGGAACTCAGTCTTAAAGAAGTCCAGAAATGGTGATATTTTGTGACCAGATTAACCACATAACAACAGAAATTGTGAGGTGAGGGTTAAGTGGGGAAAGTAGATCTTTGAGCAGGCTTCTGAAATATCTCTGCTTTTTATTCATCAAATCAAGAACAATTGGCACATTCCCATTATAGTTACGAAATCTATAGATGAGATCCATGCCTTAATTTACTCATCTGGAAAATGGAAATAATTAATGATAACCACACCACAGGGCTTAATATATATGAAGAGCTTAGGGCAGAGCCCAACACAAAGTGCTCTGTAAAAGTCTCTGCTAGGTTGGGGATTTTCCGTCACAGGCTTCTGCCCTCACATACATGCAAGAACGTTTTGGCCAACCCTCACTTTGACAGGCTTCAACCACCGGGATCTTTTCTTTGCTAAATTCAATTCCACTGCTAGCGCCAGCTATATCGACACTGGGCTACCGAGGAAGAGCTAAGCAAGACTTTTCTGCCAAAGTCATTTCCCGAAGTTTCCATTTTTGGAGGAGAAAATCAGACAATGGCCAAAATCAGCAGTCTGAGGGTGAAGGAGGAGAAAATGAGCTTCTCTTTGCCAATGGTTTTGTTGCAGAATTTTCCAGGCTCCCAGGTGCAGAGTGGGAGAAGAACTGCTCTGTCCATGACCAAGAAGAAATAGACCCACTGGTAGAGTCAGCCCAAAGGCAGAGCTCCAAAAATAAGGACTGATTGGGCTGTGGGTACTAGCTGTTCTCTACCATGGTACCCCAGCCCTCCACATACCGCTGTGTGGCCTTGGGCATGTCAGAACCTCTAAGGCTTTTCCCTCATCTGCAGAGCAGAGCGGATAATGGTGGCCAAGTCTTTGGGTGCTGTGAGGATCCATTGGGATGATCTATGTTAGAGTTGACCCTGGTCACCCTCTAGTAGTGTCAAATGACCAAAGTGATCCATAAGCCAAGGCCTGGTGGGTGATTCAAGGAAAGGCAGTGAGTGTCTGATGCTGCAGGGGAGCAGATCAGGGCAAGCATATGGTGTCACTCGTCCACCCACAAAGGTCAAAATGAGGGCCCTGCCCTGCAATTTGAGCAACAGACTGAGCAAGCCAGAAAGTGACCAGCACACCTTATAGCTGGAGTGCCTTGGTCCTGAGTTGCTTTGGTCTGTGGAGGCCATTTTACTAGCCCAATGGTCATCAGAAAGAGCCAGAAAGAGCGTGAAAGGGAATTGCGCCCATTTATGTTGAGTTAGACTAGGAAATGAGAAAGGAAGGAGGGAGAGAAGGACAGAGGAGGGAGGGAAGGAAGGAGAAAAGTTCACCTCCAAGGAAGGGCCGTGGTTTGGTGTCGCCCAGCGGTAACCATCTTTGGCGAATTGTACTGATCCGATTGTCATTTCGTGGGATCATCATGCAGCACTTATTGGGGTTAGAATTAAAGGAGCAATATTAGAACAAAGTTTTATCTTTATTTTCTCATTCAGGAGATAAAGGGAGGTTTGGGTCACACTTTGAGGGAATTATACCAAATCATATTCTATTATACCGAAAGAGTGAGGCACAGAGATAGCTTGTGTCCCTGGAAGAAGTGGGTAGAGGGGTCTTCGTGGAGAGCGGGCACAGAGTTCT